GCAAGGGTGAGCAGCCGACGTGGCCGTGTGCTCGGACCCCGTGCCAGTGCCCCTCGCCGGCGTTCACGGGGGCTGTCCGTGGGAGATGCCACTGTCCTCATGGGCCCGTCAGCCACTGGGGACGGGTCCTCGGGCCTCACTAGCCTTTCCGTGCAGACTGTCTTCTCAACACCCTCGGGCTGTCAGCTGTCCACCCTGAGCCCTTCTTACCAGGACCCCGAGGCTTACACGGCCCGGGACTTACCAAGGAGAGCCACGCAGAGATAGGGACGGGCTCCGGAGGCTGGCGGACAGCTGCTTGTGTCTCTAGGACGCTCTTTGCAAGAGCCCTCTATAAACTTGGCCTGGGGCCACCAGTGGGTAGGAAACTGCCTAATACCACCCTTCCCAGTTTTCCTAAAAAACATTGCCAAATAATTCAAACTAGAACTATGCACCCACTGCATTTATAAACGTTTCTTTCCTTTTTTAGAATTTTTTACTTTACTTTTATTTATTTATTCTTTATTTTTATTTGACCAGAGAGAGACACAGAGAGGGAAAGTGAGAAAGCAAGCCACCTGGTCCGGGACTTGAACCGTGCTGGCCACATGGGAGTGCTCAGATCCTTAACCACCGTACCACCTACTGGTCCCCTAAAAGTTTCTTCTTTGAGAGAGAGAGGGAGAGGGGGCCTCATCATGGACCAATCCTCCCCACCAGCTCCCAGCCCGGACCCCAGGACGCCTGTGTGCCCAGGTGGGCCAGTGCCTGCAACTCCCAGGTGGCTCCCAGGCCACAGCGGCACCCCACTGCCTGTGACAGCATTTCTTTATCCTAATTAAAGGAAGTAGTTTAAGCATCCCTCTGGCAAAGAAAAGATCCCTTTATCAAGTGTATAAACTACAATTTCAATATTTCTCAGGTTTTTGATATCAGGCTTTAAATTCCACTCTCCCCATTATTGTGCCTTTCTTATGAGTAAAATCTTTTTCCTTTTTAGATTTTTGCCGTAGGGTGCATGAGCTCACCAGAGTCAGAGAGAGGGAAAGTGAGACATCGCCCCCCAGAGGGGTGGCACACCTCAGCCCCCTCTCCGTCGTTCTCCTGGGTTTTTAGGCATGCGCGCACAGGTCCCCGATGTGACTATCAAGCTGCCGGACCCAGGACTTGAACCACACAGTTGGCCATGTGGGGTCCAGTGCCTTAACCTCTGCACCACCTGCTGGCCCTGCTTATAAGTAAACTTACATATACATAGATAGATAGATAGATAGATAGATAGATAGATATTTTTTAGGGTTTTGCTCTACGGCGCGTGCGCTTGCCAGAGACAGACAGAGAGCAGGAAAGTGAGAAATGACCTCCCCTGGGGTGGAGGTGGGGAAGGCCCTGCCACAGTCCCTTCTCCACTCTAGAGGTGGTTTTAGGCATGCACACACATTAACTGCATGATTTTCAAGTCGCTGGGTCTGGGACTCAAACCGTGCGGTCGGCATGTGGGATCCAGTGCCTTAACCTCATGCCACCTGCTGACCTGAAACATGATTTTTAAGGGCCTGTAGCATTCGTGTCCCTTGTCCGGGCTGTTTAGGGCGGTTCCGAGCACGTACCTGCTCTGTCTAGTGTATACACGTGCCCCGGGCTGAGCCAGAGGCCTGGTTCAGGCTCCTGTGGGGGCGGGTGTGTCTGGCAGGGCCTAACGCACACCCACAGGCTGCAACTCATTCTCGTGCTGCAGGCGTTGGTGACGTTCCCCAGGCGCTGCCCCTTCGGTGAGCAGCTCCTGGTGCTTGGTGTAGGCACCCGGGGACGCCTGAAAGCCCACCGCAGCAGGTCCCGGCATGTGGCAGTGACAGTAGAAGCCGACATGAAGAGCAGCTTACGTGATGGCGGAGAAGTCGTCATCCACCAGGACCATGCTGGCGGCCTCTTTGCTGACGTCCGTCCCCGTCTGCCCCATGGCGATCCCGATGTCCGCAGACTTCAGGGCAACCGCATCGTTCACCCCGTCCCCGGTCATGGCCACGACTGCCCCCGACTCCTGCAGGGCCTTTGGAAAGAGACAGTGCTGGAGGTGGCGGCCGGGTCTGAATCTCTGCTCTACCCACGCTGCGGTGGGAGCGGGCGAGCCCGCAACCTGCCGGCCTCAGCTTCCCCATCTGTGAAGTGGAGCCACGATCCCTATTTCACACAGCCACTGAGAGGCCCAGACTCATGGTGGATGTGACAGTGCCCAGCTGTAGCAAAGGTCTGCAAAGGTCACGCATGGCCGCTGACAGATAACGAGTGAGTCCTTTGAAGCCACATGCTGCCCGGTTAGGTCCGCACGGTTTCCTTGTGGATAGCTTACAGAGAGGCTTGTTCCATAGTGCTAAAACGAGCAGGAAAGCCCGCACTACCGAAAGAGCTCAGGGCACATTTCTCTCCTCTCTTTCTTTCTCTTGTTCTTTCTTTCTTTCTCTTTTTTTCTTTAAAAGATTTTTGCTATAGGATGCATGCACTTGCCAGAGAGACAGAGAAAGACAGACAGAAGGCAAGAAATCACTCCCTGGGGTAATGGCCGTGCCACAACCCCTTCTCTTCCATGCTCCTCTGGGACTTTGGGCACACGCACATGTGCCCAGTGTAGTTTTAAGCCACCAGGTCTAGGATAAGAACTGTGGTTGACCACATGGGAGTCCAGCAATGTAACCACTATGCCATCTGCTGGTCCCCAAGAGCATATTTTCTAAGTACACGTGCGTGGACACAGCGCAGCTCCCGGCTCCCCTGTAATGCACAAGCAGACCCCATCAGCTCTTTACTGGCTCTTGCTGGTGCCAGGAGCTGCCCTGCCCGGCTTCATCTGGCCCTCTTCCCAACCTACGGAGCAGCAGATGTCAGCAGTGTCCCCATCCAATGGGAACTCAGGCACAGTTAAATATCAAGAGCGATGCCAAGACCCACACAACCAGCGCGAGAAAGCTTCCACTTTAACCTTTCCCTTCGCACACGTCAGTCCCAGCTCCTCGACTGCTGTGTGAATGGTCCCCAGTGCTCCCCTCCCTCTCCTACTAGCCCCCCACGTTTCAGTTGCTCCTGTGCCTGCCCAGCTAAAGCTGGCATCTCCCAGCATCCCTGGAACTAATATGGTCATGTGACTAGGCTCCAGCCAGTGGGGCGTAAGCACAAATGGCAGGTGCAGCTCCTAAGCCTGGTCCTGGGGAAGGAGCTGCCTGCTGCCCCGTCCACCCTCCTCACCACTTCTACGGAACAGTGCCCCTTGGGCAGCCGCCTTGCTCCAAGACAAGGAAGGTCTGAGGATGGCGGTGCTGCCCGCCAGCTCCGGCCCTGGACTGTTACCCGAGGGACGAATGCACTCCCGGCCCGGGGTGCTGGGGCCTCGGCCAGGCTGGCTCGGCCCATGCCCGCCCCCCCAGGGTACCTTGATGATTCTGAGCTTGTGCTTTGGGCTGGTCCTGAAGAACACCGACACCTGGATGCGGCGAGGTGCGACAGAGTGGGCGGTCAGCGCGTTTGGGGCTGGTGGCCAGCCCCGCCCCCGAGTCGGGAGGACTTGCCTGTGCGATGCGGTTGGCCAGCTCGTCCTTCTCCATGCTCTCCACCTCCTCCCCCGACATGGCCTTCAGCTTCCCGCCGCACAGACCGAGGGTCCTGCCTGCAGGGACGAGCTGATCGGAGGCTGCTTTGGGGCCCAACCCTCGCCACACCCCTGACGTCCCATTCACTGGGCGCCCCCGTGGCACACGGCCTCAATTCTGCCACGGCGCTAACTTACAGCCGAGGCCCTAGACCTGCTTTATAGAGGAGGACGCAGAGAAGCTGCTTCCCAGGGGCCGCCCCCCGCTGGGGCTGCTCCCAGAGCCCGGCACGGTCTGCCTGATCCCAGACCTGTCACCTTCCACAGTCCAGGCAGCCTCCAGCGGGGGAGAAAGCCAAGGTGTGGTGACGCTAACTAGTAAAGGTGACGGGAGGGGTGTGGCTCCCTGCCGACGAGGAGACAGAGGGTCAGAGTGGTTCGGTGACTCGCCAAGGGCACACTAGTGGCAGAAGCCAGGCCAACAGTGTGCACTGGGCAAGATGCTATCTGGGCAGACGAAGTGAGACTTGGGTGCAGAGCCCCAGGCACATAGTAGGCCCTCAGTATACATGGGGACTCTCCCCGTGTGAAGACCCTGCTGACATTCTGGGCACAGAAACGCCTCAGAGGTGGAAGACTGGGGCAGAGGTCCCTGAATCTACTCTAAGCTCAGCTGGGTGGGAGCCCTTCTGGCTGGGCTCAGCCTGAGGTCGGCAGGGGCTGTGGCGAAGGCTGGGCAGAGCTCCCTCTCCGACCCCCTTGTCCCGGTTACCTATCGCCATAGCTGTCTCCAGCGCGTCCCCCGTGACCATCTTCACAGACATGCCTGATTCCGAGAGACCCCGCACGGCCTCCTTCACGCCAGCCCGCGGAGGGTCGATGATGCCGACGAGGCCCAGAAACGTCAGGCTGCCCAGCTCGGGCCCGGAAGCCAGGGCCAGCACTGAGGAGACAGCCAGACCCAAGGGGGGTGGTGTCACAGAGGCCCAGGGCATGTTTCCAGTCCCCAGCTGGCCCCCAGACCCTGGCCCACAGGGGAAGGCAGAGCCCACGGCAGTGGTGGCCAGGCTGTGCAGGTGTACCCAAGACAGGAAGAGGCTGGGCCGCTAAGCAGCAAGACTTGCTTTCTCCTGGCTATCCCACCCCCACCCAGCACACAGGGGCCTGTGAGATGGTGCAGAGGGGGCACCCCGACAGTGCTGGCTCTTCATCTCTTCTGAGCCCGCTCATTCTATCCCTGCTGCAGATGTGGGAGCCGCTTCCAGAGGTCAGGAAGGGCCCCCAGGAGAGCAGCGCAGCTGGGAGGACTCAATGTTGGCTTGCCCTTAACCCTTACCCTGCTTCGGCGGCACAGAAGCCAGGCTTGCCCCGGGGCCTGAGCGAAGAGGCATGCCGTGAGAACTGCCTCACCTTGTCACTTCCTGACACCAGAGAAGTGGCTGTGACCAAGGGACCTCCAGCCGTGACACTGTGCTAATAACACTGGTGTCGTGTGCTGATAACACAGGTGCCATGTGCTAATTAATAACACCGGCGCCGTGTGCTAATGACATTGGTGCCATGTGCTAATAACACCACTGTCATGTTCTAATAACACCGCTGTCATGTGCTAATAACACCACTGTCATGTGCTAATAACACTGCTGTCATGTGCTAATAACACCGCTGTCATGTGCTAATAACACTGCTGTCATGTGCTAATAACACCGCTTTCATGTGCTAATAACACTGGTGTTGTGTGCTAATTACGATGGTGCCATGTCCTAATAACACCGCTGTCATGTGCTAATAGTGGTGTCGTGTGCTAATAACACTGGTGCCATGTGCTAATTACGATGGTGCCATGTGCTAATAACACTGGTGCCATGTCCTAATAACACTGGTGTCATGTGCTAATAATTCTATTGTAATATGCTAATAACACTGGTGCCATGTGCTAATTACGATGGTGCCATGTGCTAATAACACTGGTGCCATGTGCTAATTATGCTGGCATGGGCTGGCTCTGTAGTACATTGGTAATGTGCTACTCAGGAGAAGCTGGACCCCACAGGCAACTGTGGTTCAAATCCCTGGCCCAGCCAGCCTGAAACATGTGAGGCACAGGCAGAAAAATCCTAGAGCAATGGGCTGGGAGCTGAAGGAAGGGGCTGATGGCATGACTGGGTGTCTGTCGCTCTCACATGTACACGTAAGTGCTCTGCCATGAAGAAAGTACGGATAATTCTGCAGGTGCCATTCCTCCCCTTTCTCAGTGCTCCCCTCCCACACTGGACCTGGGCTGCAAACCCTTGAAGACCCGTCCTGAGGACCGCTCTGTTCCCGAGAAGCATCTGCAAATGCTCTGTCCCCAGAGGACCTCACTCCTGCCTCTGTGCTCCCGTCACCCTGCCTTCCTTACCCCTGCCGTGGGGCTCGTCACCTACCTGTTCCCGGGTATGTGTGGGGGTGGGGGCGTGTCTCAGAGCCCAGAGCACTCTGGCCCCCGGCAGGTGGAAGGCACTGTTGTACACCCAACACACCATCAACACTCCACTCAACTCACTGGCAGAGGATCACTCCCTGACCCTCACCCCTGCTTGGGCTTGGAAAACGCTCAGGCCTTCTCCAACACCAGCTGCCAGGAGGCCGCTTCTGGGCCTTCGGCTGGGGCCGAATCCACTTGCAGGTACAGAAGGACCTACATGTCGGTGGCAGTAAAGTTCTACCCTTTCACGGCCAACCAACCCTCGTGACATTCTGCTTCAAGAGCCCAGAGTCTCTGTGCTCCTTAACACTTCACAGCCAGATGCACACGAGTTCAAGTCCTGGCTCCACTGGCTGTGTGGCCTGGGCTCGGTCCTCAACCTTGCGGGCCCCCGCGGGAGCCTGGTGGAGGTGGGGGACGTGGTCTCAGTGGGCCCGTGACATGTGGGCACACAGGTGGGGCCCAGCTCTGGGAGTCTCCAGGGCAGGAGGAGACAGGCCAGTGCTGAGTCTCCGAGCTGCTGTGCTGTGTTCATGCTGACGGACGCTGTCCCCGCGTGAGTTGGACCCCATGACCAGACCCACATGTCCTGGGCGTGTTGGGCAAGTTGACTGTGGTCGCAGCAGCAGAAGCCAGCTGCAGGTCAGGCCCGTTCCCAGCTTCTCACAGCAGCACCCCTGAGTGACTGCCACCGTGCCACGCCCTCCTCTGCAGAGGGAGCCGAGGCATGGTGCTCAGACCTAGGGCTGCACAAGCCCCCCGGGGGTCTGCTCTGGGGGCACGCGCCCCACACTCAGGAGGCAGCAAATGGTTCTGTGCAGCCTGCCCTGCCTGCTCCCGGCGCTTGCTAACTGACAACTCCTGACCCCTGAGGGCGGCAGCCACAGGATGGAACCATATGGCAAGGCCAGGGCTCCCATTGTCCCTGAGGGGATGAGCATCTGCAGTGAAGGTGTTTCCCAGCCCTGCTCTGAACAGCCGTGGTGGGAGTGATGGGTGGACCACGAGAGCCCCAGGGTCCCGCACCCAGCAGGCCGGCCGCAGCACTGGTGCAGAAAGCTGGCACGGCCCAGGAGCGGAAGGTCCCCCTTCATTTGAGAGCGTTGGGTTTTCCCGACGAGAGGCAGAACGAGAAAGACCTACCTGGAGAACCTGCCCTGTGCTGCTGCCCATTGGGCTGCTTTAGGGGACTCAGCAAGGGAGGGCCCCGTCCTCTCAGGCCTGAGGGCACGTCTAGACCAGGGGCCGGGTGGGCAGGGCTTCCTGCCCGTCCTGTCACTAGGTTCTCGCTGCCAGCACCTGCCCGCCTGCCACTCCCACCAACCAGCTCGTCCACCGAGGACCTGAACTGCTCCCCGCGTCACGCCAGGCACTGACCTCGCAGGCCCAGCGCCCCCATCCTCTTCTCCTCCTGCATGCAGAACGCCCTGTGCTGGGGCGTCAGAGGCAGGGGGATGCCCCCGTGGTTGTAGGTGGTGCAGGAGCGAATCACCTCCTCAAAGGCCCCCTTCATGAAGTAGATGTCTCCCTGGTCCTTGGAGAAGGAAGGCAGACGTGGCCGTCACCGCGCCCCGCTCAGTGCCCACTGCCTGTTCTACGCCAGGAAGGAGGCACGCACACGTCAGCAGCAGGGTGTCCACGCGGGCCCGGGCGGTCTGCCACGCGGGCAGGTCCGGCGAGTAATGGGGGCTGTGTACTGTTATGAAGTGCGGGTCCCTCCTGACCCGCAGCACCCCACTCTGTGCTAAGCCCCCACTGATGTCACGTGGAGCGTGCTGCCCTTTCATTAACCGGAGCGGTCGGACCGCGTCCCAGAGCAGCCGCCCCCAGGCCTGGTGGGATGGGGGTGCACTCACCTGGCCTCTGGGGCTGCACTTCACCGCCATCCACTTCTGCTCCGAGCTGAAGGGAATCTCTGTCTTTCTCACGTATGACTCTTTAATGTCACCTAAGTCCATCTAGGATCATAACAATGGGCCATTTTTAGTGAGAAATCTGAGACATCTCTATGAAGGCTTGGAGCATTGAAACGATTCATTATTCAGAAAGCTGTGGAGGACAGAACCCACGCATCTGGCTCACAGAGGAAGGCCGCCGGGGTCCGGGCCAGGCTGGCTGCGGGGAGGGATGCAGTGCTGACAGAGGCCACCTCCCCTCCTTTGTCCCCTTCTCAGCCTCTGCTCCCCTGCCCCGCACTCCTTTCCAGCTTCTACGTCACCCCCCACCGCCTGTCCACACCTTTCTGCCTCCCCCTCCTCCTCTGTTTGCCCCTAAGCACGACCTGGAGCCTGCGCACCCCCGACCTTCTGTCGACACCCCACCCAGCCCTCCAACATCTGTGAGCACTGTCTGGTGCCTGGTACCGGGCACAGGCATTACGTGGGCACCTGTGCACAGGGGCAGAGCTGAGCCTAAGGGCTGAACCCTGGCAGCCGTCGGATATAGTAGGAGCCAGCCCCCGTCGGGGCCTGGGGAGCACAGGCACTATGTGGGCACCCAGGTGAGTCTCTTCCGCTCATCTCCCCAGCACCTGCACAGGGTCTGGGCCACAGGGCTCAGAGGATTCTTAGAGAATCTCTGGAATAGGCTGGAGGTCCCAGGATCCCCTCTGTGGGTGGCCCACAGATGCTCGGGGTGTTTCTGCCATTACTAAGAGGCCCCATTCCCCTTCCGCTCACACAGGAACCTGAGTTCTCATCGGTGCAGCCCCGAGGGGCAGGAGTCCCAGCGGGAGCTCCAGGGCTTCCTACCTTCAGCCCCAGGGCCATCAGGGCGCCTTCAGTGGGCTGCCCCATCACGGCGTTTTTTCTGATGATAGCGTTGTTGGCGACACAGCCGGCCTAAGGAAGGTATCGCGTGCCGGAGTTAGTATCGGGGCTCGCACCTCTACCTCCAGGCGCTGGGCTCACCCCGTGGCCCAGCATCTGACCCCACGGCCCTGAGCCTTTCTGGGTGAGGGCTAGGGGCAACACTCGCTGTTGGGGAGAGACCTGGTATGTCCCGACTATGCCACATGTTGTTAGCTGCATGAGGTACCACAGGGTATGGGGACGGCGGGCAGATGGGGTTATGACTGGGGGAGGCCAGGACTGGCCGCTCGTGGGGATGGGCCTTCCATCTGAGTGACAGAGTGTTCTAGAATTAGAGTGGTGTGGCCACACAGCCTTGTGAATGCACTAATCCCAAGAACTGCAGACTCCTGCGGAGTAATTCTATGGAGGTGGCATAGCTCTTAAAAAGATAAACATTTAGGGGACCAGCAGTTGGCGTAATGGCTATGTCGCTGGACTCCCATTTAGTTGACTGTGGTTCAAGTCCCAGACCCAGTGACTTAAACTCACACCAGGCGCGTGTGTGTGCGTGCCCAAGATAGTGAGAGGAGAATGGAGGAGAAGGGATTGCAGCGTGGCCCAATCCTCCCAGAGGGTGATTTCTTGCTTTCTGTCTCTCTGTCTCTCTTTCTGGTGTGCGCATGCACCCTATAGCAAAAATCTCTCTTTCAAAAAAAAAAAAAA